TGAGCTTTGAATTTGGCAAAGAGTACGTTAGGATTTTGCATTCTCAGTCACATTTTCCTTTTCTTTCAAAGTACTTTTGAAAGTTGAAGCAAAATAACGATTCAAATGCTAATTTAGGTGAGTCTAGCCTACGCTTACGAAACGAAGGATGCGCTTTGTCTTGTATTGACGCTGATGAATGGAGGTAATTTGATAGGAAACATCTACGCATTGCTTGTGCTCCTCTTCTCTAAGCTACTGGATAAACTGCAATTCGTTTGAATTTTTAGGTGATCTTAAATTTCATCTGTACAATTTGATGCCCGGAGGCTTTGACGAGAAACGTGTTCAGTTTTACGCTGCCGAAATCACTCTAGGGCTTCAACATTTGCACAAAGAAAGAATATTATACCGTGATCTCAAACCTGAAAACATTTTATTAGACGATTTTGGTACGTTTGTTTTTTTTTGCTTGTTGTTTTCACTCAGCATGGAGTCAATTTTGTTGCGAAATTTTCTAACGTAGTGAATTCTAAAATATTCTGAAGTGTTCCTCGATGAGGAGGAACCTCGTTCGTTGCTCTCACTGTCTTGAAACATGAAGTCATCCGCCATGTCGGCAAGCTCGAAGAAGCTTACCGTAATTGTTCGGCTTGAATCAGCCGCTTGTCGGGCTACTTATTTGTGGGGACCCCTCTAGGAAACTGCGGCTCGAATTATATGGCTCAACGAATTTTTGCTGTCCGATTTTGCTCAGACTCAAAAATCTTCGAATAGAATTATTGGCATTGTGAGGTATGTCGGTTGGTTGAAGCAAGCATCAAGACCTTTCGCTAGGAGGTTTCAGAAGGTCAAACCGCAACGGGTAATCAATAGGTGTCGACTTAAATGAACGAGAATAACAAACGATTGTGCTTTGAGATCCTCAAATGGACGGTGTTGCAACTTGCAAGTAGGACAGCAGAGAAATTTAGCGCTGTCGGCTAAGACGATACAAGTTGAAGATCAACCTTGTCTTGGTGCTCCACTCTCATTCGATGAGGACCACTTACGCCATGAATTCGAAGTGCATATGAAGGCTACTACCATAGCGGACATTCGGACATATGATGCACCATGAATGGCCATACTGAATGGGGCGACTGAGCAGATGGTTTTGATGGACAAGTGATTGCAACACCGACGTGATGATGAGAAGCTCCTAGCAATGATTAGGAAGTTCATTGTGCGTCTGCTTTAGATGGGATTCCCTTCAAGCACAGGTTCCAGCAGGGTGGGCGTGGTCGTAAATGCACTGCATCCTTCGGCCGATTCCCACTTCGGAGCTGTTCAGCCCCTAGTCAAGAACGTAAGAAGTGTGACTGAACAAAAACTCACCTTGGAAAGCCGCTAGGGAGGGAGCTGAAGTGGGCGTGGTCGGAATCGGCCGAGGGGATTGCAGTCGTTTCCGACCACGCCCACCCTGCATGCTTTAATCAATCATCAGTTGGGCTTGAACTCACCGGTGTGGTTCACGTGGACAGCAAGCAACTTTTCCGTTTTTTGCGGCGATTTTCTTCACTACGACAGAAAGCTAGTTTTCCGTTTTTCGCACGCGAATCTTTTTTCGTTACGGGAGCCCCAGACCCAGTCATGATCAGTGGTGGACCTGAGGTTCCCACCAGAGGAAAGTTCGCGCCGCGAAAAGCGAAAAAATTTTTTCTGTCCTAGTGAACTACACCCGGACTCACCAGCTCAGCCAAAGTCAAAACTATATGTTCGGAGGATATTGCTCTTGATTTGCTAGATTGACTGAATGTCTTGTTCTTGATAACCGCTTGCTATTGTACACACATGGCGAATGCCATCGTGGAACAGTTCCCGAGGTTGGCCGGAGCAGTGGGAGAGAACCGTTCTGAAGCTCTAAAAACAGCGGGACAACCCATTGTTTGCCTTAGTGGTAGTTATGACCCTCAAATCTCCGTCTTCCTCATCTGAGGTGGTTCCCAACTTACTCAGTCGTTAGGTGGTTGTCCATCTGAGCTTTTTTGTAAGGTATACTGCCGTTAGTGTTAGATGTAGCATACCAAAACCCAGGTCGATACAATTTAAAGTATATATTGTACCCCATTACAGTACCATAGAAAAGAATAACAAATTTACGAGATTTTTAAAGAAGGTTCGACCGAACGTGCTCGCGATTGCCATACTTTTGGCCCTCCTTTTGATGAACGTCTAATGTAGACATCATCAATGGTGTTCTCATCTAACTACATTTTAAGGTCTATTCTTAATACCACTATGCTCTTAAAGTTTGCGCTCATAGCTTGGGCAGTCCTGGGATTTGCACAATCTACTGCATTTTGCCGCTGCAGCTGATATTTCAATGAGAATGACTTGCATTTAATGCTCTCAAATGTGCATTTGCTAACTGCACCTGCCTGTTTTAGGATGTTTGATTTCAATTACAAACTGCAATTTTGATAAACAAAAATGAATAATCAGCATATTTGTGCGAGAGTTGCTGTAGATTGTACTGATGATACTGTGGTAATCACTAGCTAAACTTTTCTTATTTAGGTCATGTTCGAATTTCCGATCTCGGGTTAGCTGTTGAACTGAAGGACAACGAGCCGATCAAAGGAAGAGTAGGAACTGTAGGTTATATGGGTGAGGAGACCCTTAATTGATGATATTTACGTTTTTCCCTTGGTCGCCTTGTCATCAACAAGTTCATTTTGAGCTCCTGAAATTGTGAAGAATGAACGATATTCGTATGGCGTGGATTGGTGGGGTCTTGGATGCCTCATCTACGAAATGATTGAAGGAAAGGTATAGTTTCGATTGATTACTCTGTTTGACTGACTTTCGTGTAGGGTTTAAACAAATATTCGTTTCATAGGATTGTCCGGAATGTCTCTGCTGATTGTGAAAACAATGCTTTCCTTATGAAAACTTTATGACCATGTTGGTTTGGGTTGGTGTGGTGCGAAAAACGAAGAACCA